GAAACCCCATCTCTACTAAAAAAATGCAAAAAAAAAAAAAAACTAGCCGGGCGTGGTGGTGGGCGCCTGTAGTCCCAGCTACTCGGGAGGCTGAGGCAGGAGAATGGCGTAAACCCGGAGAGATCCGGCCACCACACTCCAGCCCTGGCACAGAGCGAGAGTCCGTCTCAAAAAAAAAAAAAAAAAAAAAAAAAGTTGGAAGTTTTTAAACCAAGACTGGTAGCATTAGTTTTTTGTTTTATTAGAAATTCTGTTTGGCAGATCTACTTATCTGATTACTAAAAATTAGAAAACGAAATTATTACAAGACTGCAGATTGTTTGGACATCTTTCCAAAATGGGGGAGGAGGGATGGGGTTGGAAAAAAGTTACCTTTGATAGCAAAATGGTTAGGAACCATAGTGCCTAATGGTCCTGAATCATTTCACATTCCTCTGGGAGTTTAAAAGGATGTACCATCTTTTTGGGAAAAAATGCACCTATGTATTAAAGATTTCTTTTTTTTTTTTTTTTTTGAGATGGAGTCTTGCTCTGTCGCCCAGGCTGGAGTGCAGTGGCGTGATCTCGGCTCACCACAAGCTCCACCTCCCGGGTTCACGCCATTCTCCTGACTCAGCCTCCAGAATAACTGGGACTACAGGCACCCGCCACCAGAGCTGGCTAATTTTTTTGTATTTTTAGTAGAGGTAGGGTTTCACCGTATGTTAGCCAGGATGGCCTCCATCTCCTGATCTCCTGATCCACCCACCTCGGCCTCCCAAAGTGCTGGGATTACAGGCATAAGCCACTGCGCCCAGCCGTAAAGATTTTTATATGTAATTCCAGAGGATTCAGGACTCCTGGAAGTTTATCCTGTATTTTTTGGTGTGGAAGTGAAAAATTATGAGAGGTGATTTCTCCCACCACCGATATTTATTCATGGTGGAAGAGTATCCTTTGGCTTTGTGAGCAGATTAAATGAGTTAATACGAATAAAGTGTTTAGAACAGAAAATAGCACTCCATAAGTGTTAGCTACTAAATGTTATTATCTAATAGACAGAGGGTTACTGTATACTGTTTATTCTGCCGAATAAAGTTTTCTGAGTTGTATATTGCTTGGAGGAACTGTGCCTTTTTCTAATTTGTATAAAGGCGTCATGTGAAATAGCAACTTCCCTACAGACAAATTCATGCCTTCAGAGAGTATGCTAAGATAAACCCTCTTTTGTACAATCATTAGGTAGGCTTCTTTTTACCTCATTTCTATGAAGAGACGGCTTAAAATTTTGTGAGGAAACCAAAGATCCGTATCCTTCTATTTCGCTCTTCTTTATCCCAATGTAAGTTGCCTGCTTTGCCTCTGAGCAGATGAACTGCTGCTGGTCTTCTTGTCCACAGTGTGAAAGTTTGGTTTCGCTTATTAACCTCTCTCTCTTTTTAAACATTATAAAATATTGAATAGAGATGCTGTAAGCTATTAGGATTTATGATACAGTGGGTATTCTTGTACTTTCACCCAGTTAAAGAAAACAAAATTACAATTATCTTTGAAATTCTTTGAATGCCCTTCATCTCCCACTCTTCCCTCTCCCATCAGAGGTAATAATTATCCTCGAGTTTGGACTTAACTTCTTTTTTGTTTTTAAAGCTTTATTGCAGCCGGGCGCGGTGGCTTACGCCTGTAATCCCAGCACTGTGGGAGGCTGAGGCGGGTGGATCACCTGAGGTCGGGAGTTCGAGACCAGCCTGACCAACATGGAGAAACCCCGTCTCTACTAAAAATACAAAAGAATTAGCCGGACATGATGGTGCATGCCTGTAATCCCAGCTACTCAGGAGGCTGAGGCAAGAGAATCGCTTGAATTCAGGAGGCAGAGGTTGCGGTGAGCAAAGATTGCGCCATTGCACTCCAGCCTGAGCAACAAGAGCAAAACTCCATATCAAAAAAAGAAAAAAGCTTTATTGCATATTTCTCCCTAAACGATACATTAATTTTATATCCTTTTGAAACTTTATGTAAATGGAAAGTTTATATAAGAATGTGTGCATGTGTTTATTTTTTTGCTTGCGCTACTTACATTTTTTTTAAGCTCAACATTCTTGAGTTTCATCTATGTTTATAATGATAGTATCCTATTGTACAGCAGTACCTCAATTTATTCATTCTCCTGTTTGTAGCCATTGTGGCTGTTATTTTGCTATTACACAGTGCTACCATGAATATTTTTATTCATGTTTTTAAATGTACAGGTACAATTTCTCTAGGGTATGTGCCTAAGAGTGGAATTGCTGAGTTATAGGAAATGCACATCTTCAGCTTTACTAGGTAATGCCAATTCCAAAAGTGATTGTACAGATTTGTAGTCCTGTCATTAGAATATAAGAATTCAAGTTACATTTTATTTTTGTCATTTATTCATTCCAGAAATATTTATAGGACACTATAGCAGTAAATAAAAAGGTAAAATGCCCTGCTCTCAGGGAGTTTATATTTTAGTGGAGAAAAATAGCCAAAATAAATAATGTAGCAAAATGGTACCTGTTTTATGTGAAAAAAAATAAAGCAAGCGTAGTACTTGTTATTGCATTACTGATAGAGCCATATGTCGGGGGGATTTGAGGCTAAGGGGATGGGATATAACCAAGAAGTCCTGTGTTTCAGGTGGTGATTGACATGAACAGAGATGTAGGTGTGAGATTGATCCTGATGCTTTCAAGCAGATAATGGTAGTGAAGCTATGAGTGTTGGGGTGGGGATGGGGGTTAGGAATCTTGCCAGGAGCATTTTCCCAGGCCCCTCTCTTCACTTCTACTCATCCAGTAGCTCTAAGGCTAAAGAATGAGTGAGGAAGCTGGTACTGGGTGGTGGTATTCTGAGCATTTGGAGTTCTGGGACCCCCTATTGGCTCTTACCTACAGAGGTTTAAAGGACCAGGAGAGGAGGGAAGACTTGTCTGGAACATATGGAACAGTGGAGTTCTCTTGATACAGGAATACTTGGAATTCTAGTGCTTGTTTGATTACTGAAGTTGGAAAACTGAAGGTTGGTGAATGGATGGAATTATTCTGAGCACTTGGAGCTTTAGGGCTTTCTCTTGACTCCTAGTGGAGTCCTCTGGGAGGAGTGGTTTTTCCTATAGTATGTGGAACCCCCTTTGTCAAACTTGTTAGTTTTTGTAGTGTGGTAGATATGAAATAGTGTCTTGCTGATACTACAGTGGTATCTTGTTGGATTTACTTGATTTCACTCTAAAAATCCAAAATCTGATCAATTAAATGTCAGACTTTTTATATTTTATCTTATGTGTTTATTGGGCTCCACCAGTGTGGGAGTTTTATTTGTCATCTCTCTGTATCATGACTAGAGACCCAAAATTTAATTCAGTAGCCGAAGCTTTTACTCTGGTAGCTCTTGTCAACAGACCCTCACAGAAATCTATTATGCCCTGTGCTATCATCACCAAGTATGTAGTCATTGAGTTGGAAACCCAACCTTTTGTCTGCTCTGCCTGAGGAACTGAATTAGTAGCCTTCACCCGTACATTGCTACCTAACCTCAGAAAACACATCAGTATATCTACATTGACTCTATTTCACCCGTTCTGGGGCTCCCATCAAAATATGGGCCCCATGTTGTTGGAGCACTATCAGAGGCTCTTCATTTGCCTTTTAAATTTACCATTTTAAAATCTGAGAATCACAGCTATTACTTCTGTAAGGAAAGTGCTTTGGCTTACCACAACTAAGGCTGTAATTCCTTCTATTTTTCAGGCCAAATGTTTATATTTTAACTCATGCGCTCCCCAGTGTATCTTATTACTCTCATAGGATCAAGTCTCAGAATTTACAAAAAGAACATTGGAGAAAGGCATGGTATATATAGTACCCTGATAATCTGTGACACTCTCTAGGTGGCCTTCTAGTTGCTCCATACATCGTACTGTCTTACCTTATTTACATGCTACATTCGGTGTCATGAAGGAGTGCAAAGATGATGATAACATCTGCAAATTCCAACTGATTTACTCTATGCATTTTCCAAGAATAGCTCAGGACTATTGCTCAAGGCTATGCCTTACTTGCCTTCTCAGACTGACACTGTATATAAACCAATAAAACTAGATGGTGAGCAGCTGGGCATGGTGGCTCACTCCTGTAGTCCCAGCACTTTGGGAGGCCAAGGTGGGCGGATCACCTGAGGTTGGAAGTTCGAGACCAGCCTGACCAACATGGAGAAACCCTGTCTCTACTAAAAATACAAAATTAGCCGGGTGTGGTGGCGCATGCCTGTAATTCCAGCTACTCGGGAGGCTGAAGCAGGAGAATCGCTTGAACCCAGGAGGCGGAGGTTGCGGTGAGCCAAGATTTTGCCATTGCACTCCAATCTGGGCAACAAGAATGAAACTCTGTCTCAAAAAGAAAAAAAAAACCCTAACAACAACAACAACAACAAAAAACCAACTAGATGGTGAGCAATGAGACCTACCCCTCTTGATTTTTGACTTTTTTTTTTTTTAAAGCCTTCAAAAGGATTTCATCCAACTTCCTATGGTTAGCTTTTAAGAATATTATCTAAAAACTGTGTACACTTTTTTCTTTTTTTTTTTTTGGATGGATTGAAACCTATTATCGAAAGGCTGTCATTGTTAATGTTATCCCATACATTATGGAGATACCGTAAGTGGCACCCATTTCACAGAAGAGATGTATAAGTAAGAGATTGCTAAGTTTTACCAGGTTAGATATGATTATACAGACCTTATTATTCCCAAGGTACACATGGAGTAAAGAAGAAATACAGTCCTAAAAAATTAAGCTAGTCCTAGTATAAATGATCCAGAATTCTTCCTAGTGCCAACATATCAGTTGGTTTGAACCCATGTTAAATAGTCATGGGAAAACCCATGAGACATTTCTTATCTGCCTTAACTAACCTGAGTAATTTCCAAATGCATGTTTCTAATAATAATGTGAACAACTGCAAAACCTGTGAGTCGTCTGAAGTTTTATCATTTACAGGTATGTGACGCATTCCCAGACTCTCCAGCCAACTGAGCATCAGCTCCTTCACGGCAACTGGGTCCTGATTAATGTCCTCCCGAGACAGACTTCATTGGATCCACACTCAAGAGGACTCTGCCAGGTTTTTCTGACCCCTCTACATTGCTATAAAGTGCCAAGGCCTTAAGACTTGGGTACGTGTATTACAACAGCAAGAGTGCCAGCGCCAACAAAAGACCCATTGGACCTGTCAGCTCCTCTGTTTCACCAACCAGACACAGTAACCTTACCAACAAAGAGTAAGCCAAGTGCCTCTGTATGACACCACCAGCAGCTGATAACGCATACGAAAAATATAACTAATTTAGACTAGAGCCCTATCTCTTCTTGAGAAGCTGGGATTTGAAGGAGCTATCCTGAGATCTGTACTGCTAGTAAGTGACTGATAACATTATAAACTGGATCGGTCCCTGAGTTCAGAGACTGAGTTGCAATTGAGTGAAAAATAGACAACGAAATCTTGAAGAATTGCACTGAGGTGCAAGCCAAGTTTATTTGGCTCTCCAAATAATATTGGTTGAACTAAGAAATTGGTAATCCAAACCTGTAATAGGACTGGTGTTTGGGTGTCTCTCTTTGTCATTGTTGCCTCTTGCTGTTACATTGCTGTCTGTGTTGTCTTTCTAGGTCCAGATGTTTTCAGATAATTCACATTGCCCTGATTGTGGACAACAGTGGTTCCCTAGTTTAGAACTAGGCCACTGGTTGTACCAAACTGAACTTGTTGAAAATGAATGTTACCAGGTATTCTTAGACCGTATTAACAGAGCTGATTATTGCCCTGAGTGTTATCCCGATAATCCTGCTAATAGAAGCCTTGTTCTTCCTTGGTCTTTCCCACTTGAGTGGGCTCCCCAGAATCTCACCAGATGGACCTTTGAGAAGGCTTGCCACCCATTTCTTCTGGGTCCTCCACTGGTTAGAAAAAGAATACATGACTCTCGAGTAGCTGGTTTTAACCCTGCATTACAGTTAATCTTGACCAGAACAGATAAAACCTTAAACAAAAAACTGGGTCAAAACAAATAGCTTCTATAATAGTCAAAATTGTCAACTCTAGAGGCTTTTGTGTAGGTAGCCCAAGGAAGATGGAAAAATAATTAATTTCTAAGTCTGACCCAGATTGTCACTAGTTTGGGAACTGCTTAAATTGTTGGATCTGCTTCTGTGGCCTATACATATTTTATTCACTATGAATTTAGTTAGTATTCTAGCCAGACTGTTCATCTAGACTGAGATATATATACACACGCACGCACACACACACACACACACACACATATAAAATAATTCATATTTCCTATAAACTGTTTTGGAACTAACTTACCACTCCTAAAAAAATTTCTGCAGCCTAATGAGTGACATATGATGAAGTAGTCCTAGAGGGGAAGTCCCATACTGTATGCTTCTTAATGGTATTTCTAATGATAACTTTTGTAGGAAAGCAGCCTCATTATAGCCGGATCCTAGATTAGTCCAGTGAATTTTAATAAGAAATTATGCTGTTTTAAACTCACCTCTTACGCATTGGTCAGCGATGATATATATATAGATAACATTTATCCATATATAGCCATTTATTCATCATTGGCCCTGTCTGGCCCATCTTCAGTGTGGCTGTGACATTATTGATAACTGGTCACTCAGATAAATCACGTTCTATTAGGAAACACCTACATAGGTGATGCAGAAACATGCAGAAATGCCACCTGTCTATACTTACGTGGCTTTACATAAACAAAAGACTGTCTTGTCTTTGTGGTGACTGAATTTACAATGTCCTCCCCTGGAAATGGAAAAGTACCTATCTAGGAGATGTATGACAAAAGAAATTATCAAGCCTGACTTCATATATATTATGAACAGTCTAGGGGAAGCATCTTTCTTAGAACTAAGGTCTGCTGAACATTGGCCACATTCTGGACTTCTATTGTTCATTAAAATCATGGACCCAGAGTTGGGGTTAAGCCACTTAGAAAAAGCTGTTGAAAACATCTCAAAGGCCACTGAACAATTTTTAAATTACACTTAACATGCCAGGTATCTAGGTATCTAGTGCTTTTGTACCACCTCAGTAATATTATCAAGGTCCCAGCTTCTTTCTGTCCTTCCCCCTTGGGATCCTCTTTTTTTTTTTTTTAATTGCTTTTTTAAAAGTAGTGACCGAGTCTTGCTATATGGCCCAGGCTGGTTTCCAACTCCTAGGCTCAAGCCGTCCTCCTACCTCGGTCTCCCAAGGTGCTGGGATTACAGGTGTGAGCCACCCCACCCGGCCTAGGATCCATGTTTGCTTTTTATCGTTAGGATTTTTTTTTTTCCAATGAGTACAATATGACTTCTTGTTGTAACAGACATTTTAATCCCTAGGAAAGGCTGGAAGTAGAGAGCAAAAGTCTTTCAAGTCTGTCTTTTATTTGGAAATCAAGTCTTTCCAAAAAATCTCTAGCAGATTTCTTTTTATATCTCATTATAAAGTATCAGTTTACAAGGGAGCCACCTGGGAAAGCTTGGCAAAGGGGAATAGGGTTATCATTGCCTGGGTAGGGCACATTGCCTCCATTGAAAAAATCAGGGCTCTTTTTTTTGTTTGTTTTTTTGACAGAGTCTCGCTGTCTCGCCCAGGATGGAGTGCAGTGGCATGATCTTGGCTTACTGCAACCTTCGCCTCCTAGGTTCAAGCGAGTCTCCTGCGTCAGCCTCCTGAGTAGCGGGGATTACAGGTGCCCGCCACCACACCTGGCTAATTTTTGTGTTTTTAGTACAGACGGGGTTTCACCATGTTGGCCAGGCTGGTCTTGAACTCCTGACCTCAGATGATCTGCCTGCCCTGGTTTCCGACAGTGCTGGGATTACAGGTGTAGCCACTGTGCCCGACCAGGGCTCTTTTAGCAAGGAAAACGTGAGGAATGAATGGCTATTGGTGTGCAGCAAATCATACTTGCTACGTGTTGTGAAACCTGAAGTTATTTGTTAGTCTGTATGAAGAATGTACCCCAGAGATGTACCCTGTATCTGCCTTATGTCTCTTACAGTGGAGGTTCTCTCCTGTTATATTGCTGAATAAACTACGTGAACTGCTAAATTGACTGAAGACTAGTTAGTTTATCACTAACTCTTTAATGAAGAATTTCACTATCCTAGAGTTCTTCCTAAAAAGTGAAAATTTACTTTAAGTGCTTTTAAGAATAGTATTATGATCAGTATTATTGCCCCTAAATTTTTTAATTATTAGAGAATGCTTATGTTGTAAGGACATATACAAAGAAACATTCTACAAATATGAAAATTTAAATATCAGCAAAATAGAGAAAAGGTCTTTGTTTTTGTTTTAGTCAATCTCTCCATTAAATAGTAAGATCAGATTAAAAGGATTTATACCATTGATTTCTCAAATCAATACCTAAACAGTATCTGTGAGAGCTTGTTTAAAAATGGAGATTTCTTGGTCTGCTTTAGAAATTTTGATTCCTCAGGTTGCTTGTAGGGCCCAGGAATCTGCATATTATAAAAAACACCTCATGCTGAGTGCAGTGGCGTGTACCTGTTACCACAGCTACTTTAGAGGTTGAGGCAGCAGGATCACTTGAGCCCAGGAGCTCAAGACCAGCCTGAGCAAGATAGTGAGACCCTTGTCTTTTTCAAAAAAAACAACAAAAAGATATAAATAGTGCCTTTGGAGATTCTGACACAGGTGCTCTCTAGACCATACTTTGAGAAATGCTGTAGTAATACGTCCATAGTGTTTACTTATCTGGCTTAAAAGGGTGGGAGCAGAATACTCATAATACTGCAAGATAGTACCATTTATTTGGTAATACTGGTAATGTAAAAAGAGGATTCATGTCAGACTGAAGATTACTCTTGATAATTTAGGTCATAACTGAGCCACATTTTTCTCATTAATTAATCAGGAATGTTTCTGTCCTCTTCACAAACAGTTTTGTTTGGTGTCATTATAAACTATGTGAATATATGGGCCAGAAAAATGAATAAAAAATATTAATTTTAATATTAAGAGGGTTACTTTGCCTTCAGACATTATCACATACCTGTTATATGGTAAGCTGTCAGAAATCAACATCATGTAGTAGAGCTCATAAAATTGAGAAAAGGAGAAAATTGAGGAAGCCTTTGAACAAAGCTTTTCACCTTAGGTCTTTCTAGTATGTCTTCATATGGCTTAAAATATTGCAGGTTATTCTAAAATACTCTATAGTTGATACGAATAATGAATTTTATTAAAACACAAATGCTGTGTTGGTAAAATTAAATGTAATGACAAATGATCTGGAGGGTTATCCAGTGTTTTAAATAATGTGAGCTACACTCGTCTCTATTTTTATAGCGTGGAAGAGTTGGTAATATTGCTTATATGTTATGGTAGCATTTCTAAAATGACCATTATAACTAGTTCCTGTTATTTTATGGCAGACCTGGTAGTGGAAAGGTTAATGGAAACATGCAAGGGCAGACTGGAAAGAAAATATATCCACCAAAGAGGTAGCTGTCGGGGGATGTGAGTGAGTGAGGTAAGATTCGTCTCTGAGTCACAGGTGAAGGAAGCCCAGGCAAACAAGAAGGCGGAAATGAGTCCATGGCATCCAAAGAATATGTTGCAGTCCACGTGTCATAGCTGTCTGTAAAAGTGTAAAAGTGAGATGAGCTGTAGCCCTTTCATCTCTCCAGTCTCCCTGGCAACCCTGAGTCTCCATGGAATTTTGGGGACACAGCTTGAAAATTGCTTTTTATAGAGGCAAAATAATGGCCTTGCAGCCAGCTGGGTTTGTATTCTAATTCTGACACTATTAAATGACCTTAGGCATTTTAACCTCTCTGTATCTAGTTTCTTCATCTGTGAAAAAGGTTGTGTAATAATACCCACCTCATACTGTTGTGAGGTGTAAGTGCAATAACATATACCGAACATATGGCACATACTAAATCTTCAGGACGAGGAAAGATGTAGGGCAAGAAAGCAAAAGCAGAAGTTATAACTGGGGAATAATGTAGAGTCTTACTTGTTTTGTTTTGTTTTTGAGAGAGTCTCGTTTTGTCACCTAGGCTGGAGTGCAGTAGCGCCTTCATGGCTCACTGCAGCCTTGACCTTCTGGGGTCAAGTGATCCTCCCACTTCAGCCCCCTAAGTAGCTGTGACTACAGGTTTGCACCACCACACCCAGCTAATTTTTGTATTTTTGTAGAGATGGAGTATCGCCATGTTGCCCAGACTGGTCTTGAACTCCTGGCTTCAAGCAGTTCGCTCACCTCGGCCTCCCGAAGTGCTGGGATTGTAGGCATGAACCACCATGTCCACCGAGTCTTAATTTTAGAACAAGGATTAAAGCCAATTGTTTGAACTGATGCTGAATTATTATAAACTTATTGGCTGGTGGCTCACACATGTAATCCCAGCACTTTGGGAGGCTGAGGCAGGAGGATGGCTTGAGTCCAGGAGTTCAAAACAAGCCTGAGCTATAGTGAGACCCTCCAACTCTACAAAAAAGTTTTAAAAATAAAAAAAATTAGCTGGATGTGGTGGCATGTGCCTGTAGTCCCAGCAACTCAGTAGGCTGAGTTGGGAGGATCATTTGAGCCTCAGTGAGCTATGAGTTTGAGGCTGCAGTGAGCTATGATGGTACTACTGCCCTCCAGCCTGGGCAACAGAGTGAGGCCCTGTATCTAAAAACAAAAACAAAAAACTTCTTAAATCTCTCCTGATGAAGGACAAGATTGGTTTTGGGATGAGGTTTAGCCTGTGGCATAAGTCAAATGGTCTTAGGTGTAAAGATTAAAAGGCCTGGAGGGATGGATGACCCAAGGCAGATTTTTGTCACAATGTTTAGGCCCATTTTATAATTTTAATTATGGTAGATATAATTGCTATATGTTTTATATCACCTGAGACTTTCCAAAACACTGAAATAAATTCCTGAAGTGGCAGGTCCCTGAAAAGGAAAAAGAAAAGAAATAGAGAAAAGTTGAAGGATATATACAAATTCACTCAGGTCATATGTGCTAGAGTCACAATTCAAACCTAGATTTAAGTATTCCAGAGGTCAAGGTGCTTGTGGTATGCTTAATACAAGTTTTTTAAAGTGTCATGGTTAGGTCCCACAGCTAGACTACCTGAGTTCAAATCCTGACTGCCCTCAGTAGTCACGTGTTCTTGGGTAAGGTTCTTAACTTTTCTGTATCTCAGTTTCCTCATCTCTAAAATAGTAGGAATATTAGTAGTCTACACCTCATAAGATTGTTGTGAAGATTAAATGAGTTAATAAAGTGCTTTGAATGATGCCTGGCACAAAGAAGGCACTCAATAAATAATAGTTTTTATAGTTGTTGTCTATGCTTTATATGTTACTCGTTTTCATAGCAGGATTGTAACTACTTGTTTCAGGGCCAAGATATCGATTTCTTTTTATTCCTAGAGCCTAAAATGGCATCATTCACTAAAATAAAATTGTGTTTAAAAATAAAGATATATACTTAATTCTACCCCAACTGTCATACATTTGTCATGATGGCATTTATATCTAAACTACCATCCTGGAATGGCTGATTATTTTGTGCTCTTCTTGGCTGCTAAACTTCTAATTTCCTTCTCCATTTAAAAAATGGTCTTAGTACTTTCTGATACCTACCCTGCCTCCCCTCCCCAGGTTTTCCCCAGGTCACCATCCCCTCCCCTCTTTTTCACTGGTCCTCATGGCAATGCTAGCAGTTTGCAGGATGGAGTGGAGGATGGGTAAGGTCCTTTTGCTCTCCCAGCTCTGATTTTGTTCTCAAAGGCAGCTTTTCCGTGTCCTGTCTCTTCCCAGCTGGTTGTGACAAAATGTCTAGGAGGCCGTGGTAGAAGCGTACTCTGTAATGTAAGGTCATTGCATGTAGGCTCAAAGAGTTTCCATTACAGGTCTTTCCTTTTGATACTTAATTTTTTTACGGAGACTAATTTATTTTATTACTCATTTAAAAAGGCAGTAACTACATCAAACATATAGAAAAGTGCAGAGAATAATATAACAAGATCTGTGCCCAGATCTCAAATATATGAACATTTTATCACATTTACCTCAGTTTTTATTTTTTTTAAGGAAACTTTATGTGTACAGTTGACACCCTCTCTTATTCCTTGCAGAAGCAAGCCCTAAATGGAAGTTGATGTGTATCCTTTCCATTTATGTATTTATGTTTTGTTATAAATTTATATATGTAAATAATGCTGTACATTATTTTCTGTACATGTACATGCTGTACATATCACTCTGTAATGACAAAAAATGGAATACTTTCAAACCTTCATTAGTATCAAATATATATACATACACACACATATATATGTATGTACATATATTTATTTTGTTTGTTTTTTTCCCCCAAGACAGGGTCACTCAGGCTGGATTGTAGTGGCGTGATCTTAGCTCCCTGCAGCCTTGAACTCCTGGGCTCAAGGGATCATCCTCCTTAGTCTCCTGAGTAGCTGGGATTACAGGCATGTGACACCATGCCTGGCTAATTTTTAAATTTTTTTTGTAGAGACATCATCTCATTATGTTGCCCAGGCTGAGCTTGAACTTCTAGACTCAAGCAATCCTCTCGCCTTGGCCTCCCAAAGTGTTGTGAAGATTAAATGAGTTAATACATAAAGTGATTTAAATGCTGCCTGACACAAAGAAGGCACTCAATAAATAAACTTTTATAGTTGTGTGTGCCTTATATGTTACTTGTTTTCATAGCAGAATTGTAACATCCTGGCTTACATGTGTGAGCCATCATACCTGGCCCAAATTTAGAAACGTGTAATATGTACTGAATCGTAGTTAGCCTTATAGCACTTAATATTGTATGTTGGAACCTTCTAAACTTGGTTATGTAACTTCAACGCAAAAGTCATCTGGTATACCACACAATGTCACCTACCGGGTAGTCAAAGCGTTTACCATTTTACAGTGAGTGAGATGAAGCAGAAAGGGTACATCTTAGAAGACAGAGCACAAGGCAGCCACATTTGCAGAGGAAGCAGTGAGGTAAATGTGTCCCTCTTAGAGAAGTCCCAGGAAATAGAAATTAAGCAAGGCATCCCTCAGCCGGCCATCTAGTATGTTCTCCATAAATGGAGAATAAAACCTTACAGCCTTAACCTGTTACAAGCCTTGATGGAGACAACTAAAGCAAAATGATGCAAGTTTTGCTGCAGATTTCAGGGTCACAGGGAGGTGGAAATGACTGTCAGTGATGAGGCTACATTTTATTTAAGTAGAAATCTGAATCACTATAACCGCCATGGATAGAGCACTGAACACCAATATTTCGTAATTGAACTTGCAGGGGATTCACTCAAAGTGAATGTCTTTTGTTGCCATGTGAAGCACACAGGTCTCATCAGTTCCTTGTAGAAGATACTATCAAAAGCATCTATTTTGGGACATGCTTATGGAGTGTTTTTCCCTACAGCTATAGAAAGCTCCAACTACCCCATTTTCCTTCAGGATGAGGCTCTGCCTCACTTCCATTATGCAGTCCCGAGGTTCCTAATGAACGCATATCCTGATAGGGATCAGACACTGTTCAAAAGATTGACCTGCCTGGCTGAGCGCGTTGTCTCATGACTGTAATCCCAGCACTTCGTGAGGCTGTGGCGGGCAGATCACTTGAGGCCAGGAGTTTGAGACCAGCCTGGGCAACATGGTGAGACCCTGTGTGTACTAAAAACACAAAAATTAGCTAGGCATGGTGGTACGCACCTGTAGTCCCAGCTACGAAGGCTGAGGCATGAGAATTGCTTGAACTTGGGAGTTGGAGGTTGCAGTGAGCCGAGATTACACCACTGCACTCCAGTCTATGTCATAGAGCAAGATTCTATCTTGGAGAAAGAAAAAAAAGAAAGATTGACTTGCCTCTGGAACAGTGGCTTCCAGATCTCTCAGATACCCTGCCATGTGATCTTATCTGAGGATTTGTCAATAACTCTTGTTTGTCCCACTTCTTGCACTGTGAGGGAAATGCCATTTCAACTATAAACAGTGATGATATGTTACAGAAGGTCTGAATGAAGTGGGCTATAGGATCTACGTGTGCTTTGTGACAGGAAAAGTGTATGTTAAGCATTTGTAAGATTTGTGATGGCACCTTTGCAGATTCTTTTGGACTGCAACCTAGTAACCAAGTAATATATTTTTGAAAGCCCTCAGTTCTGTTTGTTTGCCATAAAGTTTATTGAGGATAATCTATGTCACATACAATTAACGTACAGATTTTTAGTTTGATAACAAATGGAACCACCACCTCAGTAAAGATATTAAACATTTTTTTTTCTTTTTTGAAACGGAGTTTCGCTCTGTCGGCCAGGCTGGAGTGCAGTGGCGTGATCTTGGCTCACTGCAACCTCTGCCTTCTGGGCTCAAGTGATCCTCCCACCTCAGCAGCTGGGACTACAGGTATGCACCACCACGCCCGGCTAGTTTTTGTTATTTTTTTTTTGTAGAGATGGGGTTTCACCGTGTCCAGGCTGGTCTTGCACTCCTAAGCTCAATTAATCTGTCTGCCTTGACCTCTGAAAGTGCTGATATTACAGGTGTGAGCCATTGTACCTGGTCATCAGTACTTCAGTGCTGTAATTTTACAACTTTTAAAGATAATCTAATTTATTTGAATTGCTATGTATAATATTACATTGTAAGAATATGACAATTTTTCAAACCCACTTTCTTATTAATGAACATATAGATTTTCTCATTTTTCCTCATTTTAAACAATACAGCAGTGGATATTTTGGGGCATATGAATGAGTTTCTCTGTTATATGTCTAAAAATGGAGTTGCTGATTTGTGGAATATGTTTGCCTTAATTTTCTTTGCCATATTTCTCTCTGAAGTTGTAATAACAGTTTACTTGTCATTGGGGTTGTATTTCCTTAACTAGTCTTTTTTCATATTCATTATGTTTTCATATTTCCTCTTTGTTGAACTGCTTGTTCATCCCTTTACCCACTTTTTCATAGCATTATTTGTCTTGTACTGATTTGTGGAATTCTTTATGTGTTCTCGATATTAACTCCTTACTGGTTTTATATGTTGCAGATGTTTTTCTAGTCAGAGACTTATCTTTTAATTTTGATACCTTGTGTAGAAATTAAAAATTTTTTAATGGGGTCACGTTTGTCAAATTTTACTTTCTGGTTTGTGTATTGTATATCTTATTTAAGAAACCCTTGCAGTTATAAAGATATTTGATATTCTCAAAGTTTAAAAGTTTTACTTTTTACATTTAGGTCTTTAATATGGACTTGATTTTTATCTGAAGTAGGAGACAGAAATCTAATTTTCCCCCCATTTGAATAGTCAGTTGTCCCCAAACTATTTATTCACTAATTCATTATTTCCCTTTGCTGAATTAGCCAATTTCCTTATGTATGTATGCTGCGTATACTTCTTTACTCTCTATTCTGTATATTGTTTGTCTATTCCTGTGCCAGTGTTCCATTGCTTTTATTACTTTAAGATTTTTTTTTTTTTTTTTTTTTGGTGACGGGGTCTTGCTTTGTCACCCAGGCTGGAATGCAGTGGTGCAATCTGGCTCACTGCAACCTCTGCTCCTGGGTTCAAATGATCTCCTGCCTCAGCCTCTGAGTAGCTGGGATTACAGGCATGCACCACCATGCCTGGCTAATTTTTGTATTTTTTTTTTTTTTTTTTTTTTGAGAGCAGGAGTCTGGCTTCTCTCGCCCAGCCTGGAGTGCAGTGGCCGATCTCAGCTCACTGCAGCTCCGCCTCCCGGTCATCGGCCATTCTCCTGGCCTCAGCCTCCCGGAGTAGCCTGTGGACTAGGCAGGCGCACCGCCCACCGGCCGGCGTAGTTTTTTTGTATTTTGCTTACTAGAGAACTGGGGTGTGGTCACCGGTTAGTCCGCAGGATGCGTCTCGATCTCGCTGACCTCGTGATCCACCCGTCTCGGCCTCCCAAAGTGCTGGGATTACAGGCTTGAGCCACCACGCCCGGCCAATTTTTGTATTTTTAATAGAGATGGGGTTTCACCATATTGGCCAGGCTGGTCTCGAACTCCTGACCCTTGGGTGATCTGCCTTTCTCAGCCTCCCAAAGTGCAGGAATTACAGGCATGAGCCACCATGCCCAGACTACTTTTAAGTTTAAAGAAGGTTTGATATCTGGTAAAGATTGCCCCCTTCTTCTTCAGAATTATGCTGACTCTTCTTGATCCTTTGCTGCTCTTTTTGAATTTTAGGATCAGCTTTTCCATTTCACTAGAAACCAACAATTATCAAAAAACTTGAGATTTTGTTTCAAATTGCATTAAGTTTGTAGATTAATTTGGAGAAAATTGGCATCAATGGTTTTGAGTCTTATTGGCTACTCATGATATATTTTTCTGTTTACTTATGTCTTTTTTATATACTTCAATAAAGTTCTGTATTTTTCTCTCTAAAGTTGTGTTTTAAAGAAACAGCTTTATTGAGGTATAATTTACATACCATAAAATTCACCACTGTCTAAAGATCTTGCATATCTCTTGTTGGATTTAATACTAGGTATGTTTTAGTTTTTATTCTAGGTTCCTTATGGTTATTGTGAGTAGCATCTTTGCTTTTGAAAATTTTTGTTATTGGTACATAGGAAACTTTTAACCTATTTTCTTGGTTTTGGCTGGCAGGAAAAATTTTTTTAAAGAAACTTGAAAAGGACTGGGGACTTTTTATTTTCTGTCATGCGCTAGGATAGGAGAGAAAACTTCATTGCAACATATGATGGCTTGAAAGCCCAGTCCCAGGAGCTTGAAGAAGATAAAAGCAGTGATAAGGAACCCTCCAAACACTTACGCTAAGTGTTCACAGTAACAGAAAGAAGAGTCTGTCCCTAACTCTTCTCTTCCCTTCCAGTTTATCTATGGCATCACTCTTTATTTATACATTCATTTATTTTTTCATATGCTTTTAAGTTAAAATACGGAGTTCTTACTATACATTAGGCACCGTGTAGGCATTGGGGATGAAAGTTTTTAATGTGTAAAATTAAATTTTACAAAAGAGTACTGAGAAAAATATAAAGACGGCAAGTTGGCTAGCCTCCCAGCTAGGCTGTCAAAAAACTATAACACTTCACACAGGTTTTTCTTATATATTTTTGTATTTAAGCCTCATAGGTATCATTATTCTCATTTTTATAGGGAATGAATGTTAAGTAACTTTACTGATCAATTTGTTTTTGACAAAAAATAAATTAACTACAAAATATGATTTTTAATTGCTTATAAAGTGCCTTTGATTTTGATTCCTTTTGTGTAAATCTTAATAATTTTCTTTGTCTTTGAGCATTGCATAAAAAGGCATTGTATAAAAGGATATCTGTCTCCATATTTTACAAAAGAATACTTCAAGAGAACCACTTCAAAGTCAGTCCACATGTGTAGTGGTACACCTCACAGCAGCCATCTCAGTTTGTGGGAACCTCCTGTGCCTTGTTACTTTTTAATATAAGTGAAAGCTTCTGATAGGCAGACTATGAGAAAATCATCTGGGACAGAAATTGAAGACATGCAGGAAATCTGCAGTGATTGTTTCAGCAATGACTTAAATTTCTACGCTTAGATTTATTTTTTATTTTAATTCAAGCTATTCTCTTGAAGATTCTGGTCACTTGATCTTACTTTTTATACTCTTTCAACTATTCTGGAATGTATTAGGAGATTATGAAATTCATGAAAGATTAACAATCGAGCTTTTTTCAATAGTCTAGGATTTGGAGTATGATTCTCATGAAAGGAACTTTTCTTCACGCAAAAAAGTTTCAGAGAGGAAGTGTTACTCAAACTAAACATATTTAATAAAGCTGATACTTGCATTTCTCCCTTGTATGGATAAAAAGTCATTTAATTTTTTTCATTTTGTTTTAGTCACTGTATATATGGCTTATTTCCTGGGTCCACGGGAAGCATGAGTCTGTTGGGACTTGGGGCAAGAAGAAGACAAGACATCTTAACAAGGAAAACCAAGCACTAAAAAAAGTATCCCCCCAACTCTGAAGAGATAGAGCATAAACATGGCCGACAGTGGACTTAGGGAACCTCAAGAGGGTAAGACTGATTTGTCTAGCACTGAGGGTGCTGCTGTAGGAAACCAGGGCTGTGCAGAGAGAGAAAATCTCTGACTAAAATCTGAGGTTTTGAAGTAAAAAAGCTAATTCAGTGGATTCATTTGTTTTTATTATTCTTTCAAATTTACTGAATTTTACTATAATGTGAACCCTAATTATAATATAAGGAAGATAAATGTTTTAGAGACTCTAATAGTAGGGACTTACAGTAATAGAAAAATGCAATGCTCTATTTAGAAGGGATCTTTCTTTCCTTTTCTTTTTTTTTTTTTTTTTATGTCACCCAGGCTGCAGTGCAGTGGTGTGATCTCAGCTCACTGCAACCTCCGCCTCCCGGGCTCAAGTGATTCTCATGCTTCAGCCTCCAGAGTAGCTGGGATTACAGGCACCTGCCACCACACCTAGCTAATTTTTGTGTTTTTAATAGAGACGGGGTTTTGCCATGTTGGCCTGGCTGGTCTCGAACTTCTGACCTCAAGTGATCTACCCACCCTTGGCCTCCCAAAGTGCTGGGATTACAGGCATGAACTACCACTCCTGGCCTTAGATCTTTCAGTTATGGGTAAGAATTAAATTTTAGTTCATCCTGCTTATATTTTATATAGGAGATAAAGACAAAATATGAAATAGATTTTCCAGAAGAGAAAGAGGACATTTATTTAAAATCTTTGTTATGGGAGTTAAAAAATATACTAAAGTAGAGGCCAGGTGCAGTGGCTCACGCCTGTAATTCCAGCCCTTTGGGAGACCGAGGCAGGTGAATCACATGAGGTCAGGAGTTTGAGACCAGCCTGACGAACATGGAGAAACTCCGTCTCTACTAAAAATACAAAATTAGCTGGTTGTGGTGGTGCATGCCTGTAATCCCAGCTACTTGGGAGGCCGAGGCAGGAGAATCGCTTGAACCTGTGAGGTGGAGGCTGCAGTTAGCTGAGATCGGGCCATTGTACTCCATCTAGCCTGGGCAACGAGAGCGAAACTCTGTCTCAAAAAATAAATACAAGAGTAGAATAGTACAATGAACCCATATGCACTCAACATCCAGCTTCAACTGTTACCAACATAATGCTGATCTTGTTGCCTGCCTTGGATTATTTTAATGTACATCCATGATATTACATCATTTTATTTGTAAATAGTTTACCTCTCCTAAAGATAGATTCTTCGTAGATTATTTTTTTTTAAATAGCCAAAATATCATCACACCTAAAAAAATAGACTAACAATTATTCCTTCATGTCATCTCATATCCTGTCATTATTCATATTTCTCAAAGTGTCTCATAATTTGTTTTTTCTTGACAGTTGGGCCACACATTGCATTTGATTTCTTATAGCTTCTAGGTTGTTCTTTTTTAAAGTTGTATTATAGAAAATTTCAGGGCCAGGCTGGGTGGCTCACACCTGTAATCCTAGCACTTTGGGAGGCTGAAGCAGGCGGATCTCAGGTCAGGAGATCGAGACCATCCTGGCTAAGATGGTGAAACCCCGTCTCTACTAAAAATACAAAAAATTAGCCGGGCGTGGTGGTGGGCACCTGCTACTCAGGAGGCTGAGGCAGGAGAATGGTGTGAACCTGGGAGATGGAGCTTGCAGTGAGCCGGATCGCGCCACTGCACTGCAGCCTGGGAGACAGAGCAAAACTCCGTCTCTAAAAAAAAAAAAAAAATTAAAACGCATAGAAAAGTAGACAGAGATAAAGCGAACCTCTGTGTACCCATTAAACAGCTTCATATGCTATCAACATATAGCTAATATATAGTGGAGTAAAGAAAAAAACACGAAAACATATGGCTAATATGGTTTCATCCATATGCCCTCATTTCTCCCTTCCCCCATGTTGTTTAGTTGAAGCAAATCCTGGCTATCCATAATTTTAGTAATAAATACTTGAATATATCTCTGAAAGAGGATTCTTTTTAAAAAATGTAATTACAATACCTTTATCACACCTAAAAAGATGAATCATAAATCCTTCATGTCATCAAATATCTGGCATTCAGATATTCCTGATTGTGTCATAAATATTTCTTTAATGATTGGCTTTTTCGAAACTGGATCTAGACATCGTAGTCCACATATTGTATTTGGTTGATGTGTCTCTTAAGTCTCTTAATCAGTAAGTTAAGAGACTCCTGTTTTCCCCTTTTCTTGCCATTTATTTTAATTTCTTACTGTTTTTTATTTTTATTTTTATTTTTTCATTTTTTTTGAGATGGAGTTTCGCTCTTGTCGCCCAGGCTGGAGTACAATGGCGTGATCTTGGCTCACTGCAACCTCCACCTCCCGGATTCAAGCGGTTCTCCTGCCTCAACCTCCCGAGTAACTGGGATTACAGGCACCCGCCACCACGCCTGGCTAATTTTTTATATTTTTAGTAGAGATGGGGTTTCACCATGTTGGCCAGGTTAGTCTTGAACTCCTGACCTCAGGTGATTCACCTGCCTCAGCCTCCCAAAGTGCTGGGATTACATGCATGAGCCACCATGTCTGGCCATTCTCACTTTTATTAAAGAAACAAAGTCTTTTGGAATTTCCCACCTGCTGGGTTTTACTGATTATATTCTTGAGGCATAATTTAATGTATTCCTCTATCCCTGTATTTCTTGGAAACTGGTAGCTCTAGAAGACAGAGCAAAACTCCGTCTCTAAAAAAAAAAAAAAAATTAAAACGCATAGAAAAGTAGACAGAGATAAAGGGAACCTCTGTGTACCCATTAAACAGCTTCATATGCTATCAACATATAGCTAATATATAGTGGAGTAAAGAAAAAAACACGAAAACATATGGCTAAGCCTTTTGCATAAGGTTTTGCTACCATTGATGAGCATTACCTTTCATTAGGGAAGAGGATATATTTAATATAACCAAAAGTTGGTTCTGTCATATAAATTGTTTTATATTAGTGTCATTTTGTATTTATTAACGTAAGTTTTTTGTTGCTGTTTTAATCACCTTTAGTGGGAGCCAAGAGAAATAATGTTTAGGAAGAGGGTCTTGTAAACCATGAAAATCTATGTAAATATTATTAAACAGGGAGCTTTTTAAAATATAAATTTATGGAGAATTTTTTCCAATAAAAATTATAAATTTTTGTCTCAATAGACTCTCAAAAGGATTTGGAAAATGATCCATCAATAAATTCTCAGGCACAGGAGACCACAATCATGGCAAGTAATGCTGAGGAAGCTCAGACCCTACACTCTGCCTGTGGTCTTAGCAAAGACCACCAAAGGGTGGAGACAGTGGGTCCGGAAAGTGCAGATACAGGTGATAAATCCGAAAGTCCAGATGAAGCAAATGTGGGGAAACATCCAAAGGATAAAATAGAAGATGAGAACAACCAGAGTTTTCTGGATGGTGAAAAAGGGCATCACCTCCCTTCAGAAAATCTGGGTGAAGAACCCTTGGATCCAGATCCTAGCCCTTCTCCAAGTGACAAGGTAGGAAGAGCAGATGCACACTTAGGGAGCAGCTCTGTGGCCCTCCCTAATGAAGCAAGTGACGGAACTGGAGCATCTCAGGAACCACCTACTACAGACTCCCAGGAGGCCCAGAGTCCTGCTCATTCCATTACAGGGCAAGAGGGCGAGGATACACTGAGGAGGCGACCGCTGGCCCCAGGTAAGAGAACCCCTGAACTACTCTCCTGTTTTGTATTGCTCTGTTAACTGAGAAAACAGCAGAAGTCAGAGGCCGTCTTTCCAGAGAACTTTTGTCTATCTTTCATAGGATTAAGGCCTTTGGGCCTTGCCCAAGCTCACACAGAGCCATATGACTGAGTTGATTTTAGAATGAGTTTTCTCATCTAGGCTAGCTCATTCCACTGTATTAAGTTGCTTCCTACACATAAACTGCATTTCTAAGCAATGTTTTTATTAACTGTTTATATTGATGTGATGTGACAAAAAGGGGCATGACTTTTAAAAAAATTCGCTTCTAGTTTTTTATTTCTTATGAGAATATTTTGACATAATTTTAAAAATCTTTTACTTTTTGGTAAACTAACTGTTACATAAATCAAGACATGGGTATAGTTAAAAATGAGCATTAATGGGACAGTGTCCTTAACTCAGTCATGTTTCAGTTTTATAGGACTTTGAGTAAGTCCGTTAGTTTCTCTATACCTGGTTTTTTCTGCCTATATGTTAAGAGGAACGAGCATGTCTTCCCTGATGAAGGTAAGCGTTGCAGGGTGCTAAATCCTTAACGGGAACTCAAGAGGTGTGAATTCTGGTTGTGGCCCTACCACTTGCTAACTTGGGTGACCTTGGGAAAGTCTCTTCCCTTCCTGGTGCTTCAATTTCGTATTTGTAAAATGAAGAAGTTGGATAAGATGATATCCAGGGATTCTTCTAGGTGTCACCTTCTGTGATTGTGTGTGGATTTGTATTTTATAAGCGCTCTGAAGAGCTCAGTCTGAAATGCCCATTTGCCAGTGCAAAAGAATATAAAATATAAGACACTCTGTTCATCAGGGACTTCAGCAAGGGCTAGTAATTCATGTTTCACTGCAAATCAATGACTAATCTCAAATATATGTTTTATTTATTAATCATTAGAATAATCTGTAACTTCAGTGAAGGCAAGGACTGTGTCCCTGTCATTCATTGTGTATCTCTGGCACCTGGTACATAGAAACACCTTTATAAATTTTGTCAAATGAATGAATGTGATTTGTATGGACCATGACCTGTGTCAGAATTTCACTGTTATGAGCTAGGTGCAATTACTTATGCCTCTAGTCCCAGTTACTTGGGAAGCTGAGTTGGAAGGATTGCTTGAGCCCAGGAGTTTGAGCCTGCAGTGTGCTGTGATCACCCCTGTGAATAGCCACTGCATTCTAGCTAGCCTGGGCAATGTAGTGAGACCCCATCTCTTTAAAAAAATTCACTGTTAGGCAGGTTCACTGTGAGTAGAAAAAAATATTGTTTAAAAAAATCCAGTTTAGGCCAAGAGCAGTGGCTCACTCCTGTGATCCTAGCACTTTGGGAGGCCAAGGCTGGTGGATCACTTGAGGCTAGGAGTTCAAGACCAGCCTGGGCAAAATGACAAAAACCCATCTCTCCAGTAAACACAAAAACAGCTGCGTGCACTTGTAGTCCTCAGGAGGCTGAGGTGGGAGGATTGCTTGAGCCCGGGAGGTTGAAGCTGTGGTGAGCCGAAATTTCACCACCATACTGCAGCCTTGGTGACAGAGTGAGACCCTGTCTTTTAAAACAAAAATGCAGTTTATGTATGGAAAGCAACTTACTATAGTTGAATGAAGTTATCTGTACTCTAAGAGATGAGAAACCTTGTTTTCATCTCAACTTAGCTACATCTCCTTATGTGACCTTGGGTAAGATCTTCCCTGTACCTTTTTTCATGATAGGTTAAGTAGTGCAGCCGGGGTATGTGTCCATTATAGATCCTTTCAGTTCTGAAATTCCATGATATGATATTTTAAGAACCTACTTTTTGGGGTGATATGAGCAATCCCTTATAAGTGAAGATGATCCTACTCATCTGTGCTAATAGAAGTACCTGGCTGGGGTTAAGCACAAATTTAGAGTCTAGTGTGATTTAGCTTAGAGTGCTAAAAATTGTTGCCCGTCTTTTCACCCACATATTTTAAGCTTGGCGTGCCCACCCTACACCTGGATTTTTACATATTTTGTGAATTTTCTTCACCTTATATTCCTTGCTTTGTATATCTCCTTCACTAAGAGTTTCAAATTTGCTTTTATAAGCTATTTTGCAACTGTACAGTAATCTCTCCTATCTCAGAACTTAGTGCTTCTGTTATTTTTATATTTGGCGTCTTGAGGGACCATGTGAAACTCGAACACTGGAATTAGAGCACAATTACCCTGTGAAGTTGAATCTCGTGTATAGCCAACATTTCTTAAATCCCTTCTTAATTTTATACATTTTGCTGAATCACATTTTAGGTAAGTTTGGCCGCAGTATTTAAATGTCTTTGTCTTTGATATAAGAGGCAGTGAGGAATTGTGAATATAGCAACATTATCCTTGAATGAATTTCACAGCATTTCATTTTATTCTTCTAAGTAAAATAAGAGTAATAGTCTTAAAGAAAAGACAGGAAAAATGTTAATTTTGGTTTTTTTTGAGGTGGAGTCTTGCTCTGTCCCCCAGACTGGAGTGCAGTGGTGTGATGTCAGCTCACTGCAACCTCTGCCTCCCGGATTCAAGTGATTCTCCTGCCTCAGCCTCCCGCGTAGCTGGGATTACAGGCACCCACCATCATGCCTGGATAATTTTTGTATTTTTAGTAGAGAAGGGGTTTCACCTTTTTGGCCAGACTGGTCTCGAACTTCTGACCCCAAGTGAGCCACCTGCCTCAGCCTCGCAAAGTGCTGGGATTATAGGCGCGAGCCACCGTACCTGGCTAAGGTACAGAAATCCTTTTAGTCAAGTCATTGTTTGGTTTGGTGAGAGATATAAAGGTATACATACTGTCATTAGTGTACTGCCTAAAAATAATATTGATTCTTTTCCTCTCCAGAGGCTGGAAGTCATCCACAACAAACACAAAAATTGGAAGAAATTAAAGAGAATGCACAGGACACCATGAGACAGATTAATAAAAAGGGTTTTTGGAGCTATGGTGAGAACAAACCTGGTTTTACTGCAGTGTTGATTCACATTCAGAAATCCTCAGTGAAAATGCCTAGAAAACTAGCAGATTTAAACAGTTTTAACATTGTGTTTACATACACTTATTTAATGATTGGTAGTAAGTCATAGTAAAATAGAAAAATAGAGTTTTAGGGATTTTTCCCTTAAGGGTACTGGCTGATATTTTGCTGTGATTAACAAAATGGAATTTCTCACAGTAGGAAAAGCTTTTCCTAAATCAGAAACAAAAACTGCCTTTCTAATTAGAGAATATTAAATTTTCAAGTGCATTTTAAAGTTACGACTCCTAAAAAAAAATGGTCAGCTATAGGTAGTAGGTGCATTGAGAAGATGGAAGAAAATCTTGATCACTTATGTCTAAATTACGTCATTAGTTATAACAACAAATACATAGACTCAGCTTTTACCTTTTATTTTTAAAAATTTTTTACTGAGTACTTAACTCTTCCATGAAGGTTTTGTCTTTCAACAAAGATATCTTCAAATAATTAAATCTGAGAAGAGATTAGAGAAGAGGTACTTCTGGTGGATTAAAAGTTTAAACAATTTATGCAAAAGAAACTTATTGCTCCTAGTAAAACCTGATGGTATTTCTGCCTCATTTTAGTTTACCATAGGCTTTGTTTCTGGCTTGTGTTCTCTGTAATTTTCTGTTCTTTTCTCATTCTTTTGACAGGCCCTATCTTTCTTCTCTTCCTGGTTGTGGCTGTTGTGGCAAGTTCTGTGAATAGCTACTATTCCTCTCCAGCCCAGCAAGTGCCCAAAAATCCAGCTTTGGAGGCCTTTTTGGCCCAGTTTAGCCAATTGAAAGATAAATTTCCAGGCCAGAGTTCCTTCCTGTGGCAGAGAGGACGGAAGTTTCTCCAGAAGCACCTCAATGCTTCCAACCCCACTGAGCCAGCCACCATCATATTTACAGCAGCTCAGGAGGGAAGAGAGACCCTGAAGTGCCTGAGCCACCATGTTGCAGATGCCTACACCTCTTCCCAGAAAGTCTCTGCCATTCAGATTGATGGGGCTGGAAGGACCTGGCAGGACAGTGACACGGTCAAGCTGTTGGTTGACCTGGAGCTGAGCTATGGGTTTGAGAATGGCCAGAAGGCTGCTGTGGTACACCACTTCGAATCCTTTCCTGCCGGCTCCACTTTAATCTTCTACAAGTATTGTGATCATGAGAATGCTGCCTTTAAAGATGTGGCCCTGGTCCTGACTGTTCTGCTAGAGGAGGAAACATTAGAAGCAAGTGTAGGCCCAAGGGAAACTGAAGAAAAAGTGAGAGACTTACTCTGGGCCAAGTTTACCAACTCTGACACTCCCAGCTCCTTCAACCACATGGACTCAGACAAGTTGAGTGGGCTGTGGAGCCGAATTTCACACCTGGTACTGCCAGTCCAGCCAGTGAGGAGCATTGAAGAACAGGGGTGCCTTTTCTAAAGCTAAGCACAAAGTTGGTTATAGAAGGTGTATGTTTATGAAAAAGTTTGTTTAAAGGCCTTTCATTTATATGGAAGGAGGTTGATAAAATAGGTTGAGGAAATAGCCTGAAAAACAAAAATGAGCTTATTTTAGAAACAAGTTTTTATTTTTTACTTCTTGTAAAATCTTTCTAATCTAAGCCTTGACAAAACTAAAAATTAACCGACTTTTTTTCTTTGCCTTTTGGACCAAATCAGGTTTGAAGTATGGATGATATATATGAGAATTTTTTTAAAATTCTAAAATATAGCAACATTGCACAGGAAGATACTCTTACTTCTTAGAGTAACTACAGAGTGATTTTTTTTTCTTGAGTGAGCCTCTGAAGAGCCTTTTGGATGCTGTTTGGACTTGGATGAAAGCAATTAGAATTATGAAGCAATGATCACTTTTAGAAAATTTTTCTATCACATATTAAATATTTTCAAAACCTCACTTTAATAATCTAAAGTTATGGGATTATATCTTATATTAATTTTACAGTTTTGAGTAGTATGATAAAAGAAATAAGAATTCAAACCATTAAGTACCTACCTATACTACATGTAAGGCACTGTGCTTTTATTCCATTCAGCTGAGGTATAAGTGTACCTCAGTACAGAATAAGCAGCTGTACTCAAACATTCTTAAAAATGAGAACCAATGGGGAAATTGTTTATAATCATTGGAAATGAAGAAATTCCAATTGGCTATATCTTTACTTCAGCTTTTCTTGAATGATTTACAGCAGTGATTTTCAAACTGTGTCTACTGGCACCCTTCCCCTTTGTATCAGAGCAGTTCTGCTTTTAACTGTTTTATATGTCAGGCTCTATGAGATTTCATTAGAACAAAGAGTTTCACTGATACTCAAGTTTGAAAACCATTAAGTGAAAAAACATCTTAGAAGATAGGAAATATGTAAAAAAATTGAATGTATTAAATCTTATGAGTAGGAAGATGAAATACAGGTTTATCATATAGATATATTGTTTATGAACACTAAAGATCTATACATGAACAGCAGAATGTATAAGCTAGCATTTACTAGCATGTCTCTGATGCTTTTGTTCATTTCTGTTAGTCATCATTTTTGTCCCCTCTGCATGGAATTTTATACTTGTCTAGGGTGAGAGTTTGTAGACTTTCAGCAGAACATATTTTAATAACCAATTTATTTGTTTTATTTTAAAAAATTATTTTCGAATAACCAATTTAATAGTAAATTTTATATGAACACTTGGCATAACTTTACCAAACAGTTTATTTCTATGCAGTGATGGAACATTATGTAATACAGCTCGTTTCTTGACCACCTAGTTATAGAAGTACCATTAAGTTAAAAATTAGAGAAATCCAAGAGATGTTATACTTAATGAGAGGAAGCAGAAATGGTGGGTAGATTCTCAGAGGTTTTGATGTTCAGTACTGACTGTTGGACCATGTTCTGTGATTGTAAGAAATATTGAAAACCGTTTGTATGGAGACAGTAGGTGATTAGCATTTGAGCTCTGAAAGCAGAACTCTAGTAAAATGATCTCGACCTAACAAAGGGTCTGTTCTATTATATAGACTATTCCCGTAATCCTGGAATGTTTCAGCTAGGTTTTGGCCTCTCCATTATATGAGCTCATGTGTATATATTTAAGAAGTCTGATTAAAGTATGGAAAGATTTTAGGAAACACTAAGACAATACAGGGATCTTTATTGATACCTAAAAAGATTACAATTGAGTAATTGCTTAATTGAGTGTAGGGGCATACCTGAAGGAAGAATTTGCATTTGGGACTTTGAAGGAATCTTCCAAGAGATTTGGGAAAAGACCTGAACAAAAAGTTAAAGCATAGTGAATGTAATATAAATGTCAATCCAGTATAAAAGCAGAGGAAACGAAGGAAAATCTATATACCATATGCAAATTTTTTCTGTCTTTTTAGATCTTAGATGCTAACATTACATCCACAAAACCAGTGTTGCCTTGTACAACTATTATATTGGCCTGCTGACCTGTGCTACCTCAGATCTGTAAAGGAACCAGTATGACGCATATTCTTGTTTCGTCATTCGGTCGAATATGGTTTTTCATCATTTCCTTTCAAAATAATTTAGAAAAATAAATTTCTACAGTCACAATGGCTTTTATTTAGCCTTTTTAAAAACACTTTTCCTTCCATGTGTAGTGCAATCAATTGAGAGTGTTGTCAGTTTTCTGTCCACTATTTCAAAAGTCGTTTTTTTTTGAGATGGAGTCTCACTCTGACTCCCAGGCTGGAGTGCAGTGGCTTGATTATAGCTCACTGTAGCTTTAAACTCCTGGGCTCAAGCAATCCTCCCACCTTAGCCTTCTGAGTAGCTGGGACTACAAGTGCATACTACCACACCACTCTACCACTCTGTTTTGTATAGAGACAGGGTCTCACTGTGTTGCCCAGGCTGGTCTTGAACTCCTGGCCTCAAGTGACCCTCCCACCTCGGCCTCCCAAAGTGTTTGGATTACAGATGTGACCCAATGCATCCAACCTCAAACTTTTTTTTTTTTTTTTTCGAGAAGGTCTTGCTCTGTCACCCAGGCTGAAATGCAGTGGTGCAATTTCACCTCACTGTAACCTATGCCTCCTGGGTTCCAGTGATTCTTGTGCCTCAGCCTCCCGAGTAGCTGGGATTACAGGCACACACCACAATGCCCAGCTAAGTTTTGTATTTTTATTAGAGACGAGGTTTTGCTGTGTTCTCCAGGCTGGTCTCGAACTCCTGGCCTCAATTGATCTGCCCACCTTGGCCTTTCAAAGTGCTAGGATTATAGGCATGAGCCACCACACCTGGCCTCAAAAATCATTTTTAAAAGAAGCAGTGTATTAGCTCTGACTTTTTAAACATGATACTATATTTTATAAATGTACAGATAATTCAAATCTATTATCTAATGTGTTCTCTTAGGTTAATTTCTATTTGTTTCTATTCTTTTCTTTGTGTGTGTGTGTGTGTGTGTTGAGACGGAGTCTTGCTCTGTCGCCCAGGCTGGAGTGCAGTGGCGCGATCTCGGCTCACTGCAAGCTCCGCCTCCCAGGTTCGCGCCATTCTCCTGCCTCAGCTTCCCGAGTAGCTGGGACTACAGGTGCCTGCCACGACATCTGGCTAATTTTTTGTGTGTGTGTTTTTAGTAGAGACAGGTTTTCACTGTGTTAGCCAGGATTGTCTCCATCTCCTGACCTCGTGATCCGCCCGCCTCAGCCTCCCAAAGTGCTGGGATTACAGGCGTGAGCCACCGTGCCTGGCCTATTCTTTACATTTTTTAAGGTTTCAGATTTTCTTTTGTGTGTCTAGTAATTCATCATTTATTGTCGTAGATAATTTGCTTATTTGACTTAGAAAAATGATTTGTAGGCATACAATATTGTACATGATACCTAAACATTGCCATTTAGTTACTCTCCTAGAACAACTTTCATTACGCTGTCTATTAATATAAATTACCTCTTGAGTAATCCCAGAATCATAGAACCAATTGGTGGAATCAGAAACTGTCTTTGGACTTGAGGTTTTTCTTCCCTTAGGGTAAATTTTAGGTTTTCTGGTTAGTTTCCAGGGTTGGCAGAGAAGTTCATATCACTAAAGGGGTTCATATCACTAAAATAGTAATGCTAATTTGTTTCATATTTCTATTTTAAAAAGCAATAAAGAAATTTCAATACATTTCATTTGAAGCCCCCAAGTTTATGGTGGTTAGTGAGGCTCAGCATGCCGGTAACCCACCATTCTCTCGGCTAATGACTCCACTAAATAGTGCTAGCCACTGAGATCGAGAAGGTCTTGCTCTGTCACCCAGGCTGAAATGCAGTGGTGCAATTTCAGCTCACTGCAACCTATGCCTCCTGGGTTCCAGTGATTCTTGTGCCTCAGCCTCCCGAGTAGCTGGGATTACAGGCACACACCACAATGCCCAGCTAAGTTTTGTATTTTTGGTAGAGACAGGGTTTCCCCACGTTGGCCAGGCTGGTCTCGAACTCCTGACCTCAAGTGATCTACCCGCCTCGGCCTCCCAAAGTGCTGGGATTACAGGCGTGACACCCAGCCTAAACAGCTTTTAATTACTTGATTTATACTTTATTAAAGACAGGAAGCACAATGAGCAGTGATATTAAAATATAACAAATATAGCATGGGAAAGTGATAATTATTCAGATGATCTTCACCAGCACGGCATTTGTGTATATCTGTCCAAACTCTACGCCACATAGCAGGTCTCTGGCACTTCAAAAATGGATGTTAAATAGAAAATAATAAATAATAGCTGATTAGGGTAATCATTTATTTAATCGGAATAAAGATTATATCCATAAAATTTACTTGCAGAGAAATACTTTGTTTTAAAGACAGGGTCTCACTCTGTCACCCAAGCTATGGTGCAGTTGGCACAATCACGGCTCACTGCAGCCTGGACCTCCTGGCCTCAAAGGGTTGATCCTCCTACTTCAGGGATTACAGGCACACGCCACCATGCCCGGCTAGTTGAGAAATACTTTCAAATAGCAACATTAAGCCTTTCTTTTATCATTTGAAAATAAAACATAGTTGTAAACATAAACCAGTATGTCTTTGTAAAGCCAGTAATATATCATTTTATAGGAGCATTGTCTTCTTGTGTTTTTCAAGTTGACTATGTAGTTCTATGTCAGTCTCCATTTTAATATCTTGTTTGTCAAGCTGAGCATATTTCATTTTGAAATGTAGTTGTTGAGAAGTCATGGTGGTTTTTTGTTTTTCACAATTCAAGTAGCTTGAACACTCGTCCAATGGGAAAGCTGATGCTTATCTTTGTGGCAAATGCTTGGTTGAACAATATATTTGCAAAGATGTTAATTCTAGAGAGAGCAAAATAAAGTTGAGATGTCTGTAAAACAGTTTCTCCAGATGACTTTAAGCCTTATTTTTGTAAATTTATGTTAAATTTTAGGTGTTAAGTTGTGAAATACCTAATGATATGGGCCTAAATTTGCCTCATTTGGACCAAGACGGGGCTGTTAAAATTCATTTCGAGCTAATAAACTGTGCTATAACTTCTTTGTATTATTATTATTATACTTTAAGTTCTAGGGTATATGTGCACAACGTGCAGGTTTGTTACATAGGTATACATGTGCCATGTTGGTTTGCTGCACCCATCAACCTGTCATCTACATTAGGTATTTCTCCTTAATGCTGTCCCTCCCCCAGCAGGCCCTGGTGTGTGATGTTCCCTGCCCTGTGTCCAAGTATTTTCTTTGTGCAGTTCCCACTTGCGAGTGAGAACATGCCATGTTGGTGAACTGTGCTATAACCTCTGTATCTCTATAGGCCAATCCAAATGGCCTGAGAACACAATCAGTATCCCCTAATCTGCAAAGAGGTAAATACCTTAGTCTTCAGTACCTTTCCTTCCAGTATTATCTGCGTTATCTGTGTCCTCTTGCTTTGATGTCTTGAAAAGCCCATAAATTGGTGCTTATTTGGCAAATGGTCTCCTGCTTTTCCTCACTGAGGCTTATAAACTAAATTTGCCTTTGGCTAAGAGCAGTTACATGAACCAAAAAGAACATTTTAGACTTGGGAAGCAACAGGCTGAGTCACATTGCAAGGGGCAGAGTTGGCCAGACCCCCAGGCAGTCACAGCCCTACTCCCTGTGTTCCTTCTAGGCCTAAGGACGCATCAACACAAAGCTCTGGGCAGTTCCTCCTGGTTCATCAGAGAGCACAGGAAATTTAAACCTATTTGCCTTTCCTGTCATAGAAGAAACAGCACATTGACTTTCAAACCCATTTGCATTTTGCTTATTTGTACTTAACAAATTTGGGCTTTGTCACTATTAATGTCCCATTTCTTGGCATCCCCTTTCTTTATAACAGGGATTGCTTTTGTATTTGTTTCTTACAGGTGCTGATGAATGTGCCGTATTCAGATTAGTTGTCTGGTCATTACCAGAATAAAGAATAAATCTCCTCAATTTTTTTCAGTTGACTGATTCTTGATTAAACTTCCCAAAATAGCAGGTTTATAGAAATGGGCATGTGGTGATTAATGGTGGGAAAGGAAACTGCCCTCATATGGCAGTAAGATGAGAAGCTAGAGAATCCTGTGAGGGTTGTCAGGTGGCATTTGTGGCCATCAGTGAAATGGTACAGGGCAGACCCTGCCTAGAATCTGTTGCAGCTCTTGGTAGCATTCTTCGAGTGCTGTTCCTACTTAACGAGGCTTTCCTGACTATGGGAGAAACATTGGGGTTGTAAGCAGATCCCTGGGAATTGCTGCTACCCCAGCATGTGCTGTTGTGAGTGTGTGTGTGTGTTTTGAGACAAGGTCTTGCTCTGTTGCCCAGGCTAGAGTACAGAAGCGCCATCTCCCCTCACTGCAGCCTCTGCCTTCCAGGCTCAGGCAATTCTCCTGTCTCAGCCTCCCAAGTAGCTGGGATTACAGACGCACACCACCGTGCTGCGCTAAATTTTTGTATTTTTAGTAGAGAAAGGGTTTCACCATGTTGTCCACCCTGGTCTCAAACCCCTGAGCTCATATGGATCTGCCTGCCTCGGCCTCCCAAAGTGCTGGGATTACAGGCGTGAACCACTGCGCCCAGCCTGTGAATGTGTTTTTTAAGTGTGGACATCCCTTACCTTGTGTGTTGGCAATGGGGGAGGTCGGGGTGTGTTCAGAGTTTCTCCCTTAAGATGTTGCCAAACCAGAATTACAGAGTAGAAGCACCTGAGTACCCATCTCAGCCCCTCACCCACCTTCTCCCAGCTTCCTGCCCTCCCACCCCCGTCCATACCCAACTAAAACCAAAGATCTTATTAACACATTATATAGAATCGTTTTCTAACAAATCTGAATTGAGTTTTGAAAATCTGAAAGACTTGTTTTTGCAGTTTAGGAAAATAGGAACTTTGGGAGTTAGCATATCTTAACTTGAGCATATCTTAGCTGTCAGTGAAAGGAGCTAAAGTCAGGCGATAAGATGAGCCTGAAGGCAAAGAGCCTAGGATTTCCTAATACCATTCCACAAACATCAACAGGATCAGCAGCAACGAGATTTTCTTAATGCATAAACTCACCACTAGAGGATATTACATACTAGTGTTCTGCTGTACACTAGAACAGA